GCCATCCCCATCCATAGCCCTCCCTTTGCCAGGCTGAAAAGGTCAGAGTGGAGAGCCAATTGCACGAGGCCATTGTCCTTTGCTTCATGGGACTCTGTGAGTATATCTTCCCATAGCTTGTGCAACTGGTTGATGCAGGCCAAGGCAACGGAGGAGAGCAGTGCCGTGCAAGTTCAAGCTTTGAAGGCTAAGGACCAATCGGGCGGCTTTTGTTGCTCATCATGTTAAACACGCCAAGCAATTTTAAAACCAGGCTGGGTCCAAGCAGGGTTGCCACTATCGTGCATTGATGGTTTACTCAAGCGCTAAGCCGAAGAGTGCCAACAGAAATCCAGTGCGAGAGCTTACGTGCACCTTTAGCTGCCGGTGCTGCCACCTCCCTTATACATTATTGAACACCGACTTGCGCTGCATCACCAGTGGGAGGACTCAGACGCAAAGCATGGTGGGGCAGCCGAAGCTGAGGTGGATTCCATGCCTCCCAAGGCTTCTGAACCAGCAGCTGCAGAAAAGACTCTTGAAGAAGCTGTGGCAGGTGAGGGGTTGGCAGACTCCCTCGTGCCAGATCAAACTTTGGAGAAAGATTTAGACGGGCCAGGGTCAAGCGAGGAGACAGCTGAATTGAAGGAAGTGAGCGAAGGGAAGGCAGAAAATCCGGCCGAAAAGAGAACATCCGTGAAGGAGCCTGGAGAGGAACGTACTCTCAGTAGGATTTCAGAGGGGAAGTCCGAAAACAAAGAATCAGGGAGGGGCAGTGGCAGTAAGACAACAGATGTGACTAGCGGCATGCAGACAACCGACAAAGCTGATACGACCCTTAGCCGGAAATATGTGTTTGCGAGTGAGTCACGCGATCTTCAGAACTCTTAACATGAAGCTACTAGGAACAAGTGCATCGCTAGTAGGAACAGGTGCCTTACTAGTAGTAACAAGAAGCTATGGCTATTAGGAACAAGTATGAACAAGTGCATTGCTTCTAGTAACAATGTTTGGCAATGTTTGGCACCGAATGGCGTTCGTAGACTTTTGATTGGCTGACCACTGGCATCCATCTAGTCACTCGTCCTTGGCCCAGGAAAGCAGCGGAAGCATCAGAAGAAACCAAGGTTGGTGATTTAAGCCAGGCATTGTAGGTTGGAGGCCATCGCTTTTAGGTTGAATTGGAGGCCATCGCTATTAGGGTGGAGGCCCTCCGTTTCAACATGCATCAACTAGCAGAGATGCGAACGGATCATAAGGGATGTCACATGTAGGCTGTCATGTTCTTCAAGCCTTGGAGGCTTTAATGGAGTAAGTACGCAGTTCACTACCGAACCCCTTTCGGTCTTTTGTTCGACATGTGTTGCTGCACGCCACACATGCAGCAAGCATCCAACAACACTTTATGCTTACCACCAATTGGGCCATCACCCAGACCGCATGAGTTGGCATTATTTATGGCAGGAACGAGAAATGGCCGCGACAAAGCTCCAGGCTGCTTGGCGAGGAAAGTTGGCAAGAAACCAGGTGGCCTTTAAACGCAGGATGAAAGCAGCAGCAAGTCGAATGTCAGCCATTGAGGGTATGGACGATTTGTTGGCCGGATTGTTGGATGAAGAGGGTGAAGAAGATGAGGCCCAAGAAGAGGCAGAAGAAGAGGAGGTGGAGGGGGTGGAAGAGGAGGGAGAAGAAGCTGGTGAGGATGCAGTTGAAGAGCCTGAAGATGCGTTGGATGCCGCGCTAGACGGCCTGGTCCAGGATAAGGTACCAAAGGTTGTTACTGAAGAGGGGAAGGTTCCGCCCATAGCTGGAGAGCCATTGGTACACGAGGCTGATCCAGGACAGCAAGAGGATCTTCCGCCAGACAAGGTGCAAACAGAGGCTGGACATGGAGGTCAGGATCATGCAGAGCCCGAGGCGGACGCTCCAGCTGAAGAGAAGAAAAAGAGAAGGAGAAAGAAGAAAATACCAGAGGCAGGCTACCGTATGGGCTATGGTGTTGATATGTGTTGCTCAGTGATCTTGCTACCCGGGACCCGCGTGTTTGTTAATTTGGAGGTATGCAGCGATGATTTTGAGGATTCTGTTGTAAGATGTGGTAGGTTTGAACAATGTTTGAACACTGACTTGCGCGGCGTCACCAGTGGGAGGACTCAGATGCAAAGCATGGTGGGGCAGCCGAAGCTGAGGTGGATTCTATGCCTCCCAAGGCTTCTGAACCAGCAGCTGCAGAAAAGACTCTTGAAGAAGCTGTGGCAGGTGAGGGGTTGGCAGGCTCCCTCGTGCCAAATCAAACTTTGGAGAAAGATTTAGACGGGCCAGGGTCAAGCGAGGAGACAGCTGAATTGAAGGAAGTGAGCGAAGGGAAGGCAGAAAATCCGGCCGAAAAGAGAACATCCGTGAAGGAGCCTGGAGAGGAACGTACTCTCAGTAGGATTTCAGAGGGGAAGTCCGAAAACAAAGAATCAGGGAGGGGCAGTGGCAGTAAGACAACAGATGTGACTAGCGGCATGCAGACAGCGGATAAAGCAGAAGCTCAAAGTGAGGCTCAGGGATGTTGGCTTTTGTCACGCCATGCATCATCATGCCCGCACCTATTTCTTCAATTGTCAGAACTGAGCCACCATGGTCAGTGTACATCTGCTAAACTGACAGGACGAAAACATCGGCTTTGGTGTGAATGGTTAATGTGGTTGTTTTTGTGCAGGCCACATAAACCCAAGTCATAGATGCATCAAAGTCGCAACCATTATTGGCACAAAGCCCGGAGTCGGCTTGCTTATATGACATGTGGAATCGCACAATGGTTCCTAATGCAATTTGGACTACACACCTGGAATCTTGTGTGTGTGTGTGTGTCCATCCTCCCCCAGTCATTCCTGCAGGGACAAGAAGCTGCCGCAACTGAGCAGAAGGCTGTTGGGGATGAACGAGTCTCAAAGGGCTCGATGTCATCAGGGAGACCAAAGGAGGCAGAGATTGGCAAGGAGATGGATGGAGAGCTCAAATCGGGCAGCCGTGCAGGGAAGGAGGAGGAAGATCCGGCACAACTGGAAGAAGCTCAAGGAGAAGACGAGGAGGAGCCAGAGGAGCCAGAGGAAGTGGATGTTTTTGAGTGCAAGGCTGGAACAGACATCAAGGAGCTGGGATTGATGCCTTCTGCTTTTGCTCCGGATCCGGTTGAAATTGCCTCGGTGACTCCAGACTCGTGGGCCGCGAAGTCGGGAATTGAAGCTGGCGACGTGTTGATTAAGATCAATGGGACTGCAGTAGAAGCCATGGACCGAAAGGAGATGAAGCGTGCAATGCGGGACCGCCCATTGTCTCTGACCATCTCAAGGCAGGCTTTCGCGACGCCCGCGGAGTCTATAGATGACATGGAGACGATTGAATGCACGGCTCCTGAAGGTGTTCAAGACTTGGGATTGTATCCCTCGGCGTTTCCTCCAGAAGCCATGATTGTTGCAAATGTGACGCCGGGCTCATGGGCTGAAAAGCAGGGAATCGAAGCTGGGGATGAGCTGGTTGAAATTGGTCACCAGCAGGTGCAAGACATGACAACTAAGGAGACCAAGCGTGCTATGCGCGATCGTCCGCTGCATTTGGTCTTTCAACGAGTCCAGGATCCACCGGCCTCAGCTCCTGCCTCATCTGCTCCCACTTCCGAACGAAAATCTCAGAAGCCAGCCCCAGACATGACACAAGCGACGAACGAAGCTCGGAAGTCTGCAGCAATTCTGCCCGAAGGATTCAACCCTGCATCCGACAGGAGACCCAGCTGCACGGAATTTCGCGGGCTGCAGGCATAGGTTCCCCTATATTGTCCAGGTCAGTATCGCATCAATTCGCATCATATCACACCATGTCGGCATGATAAGCATGGACGCAGCTGCACATCCAGGGGCGGCAATGCACGTTGTTCTCCATTTTCCCGGCTCGCCCTAGCCCCAGGAAGAAAAGTGCATCATCCAGAACATCAAAGCCAAATATCCAAGAGGAGGCGTTTCCATTTGTTGAGTGCGCCTCTCTTTTGCTGGAAAGTTGTCCGATGTGTTTGTCAGGTAGCGGTGCAGGAGGACGGGGATGGTTGGGACGACGACGACGACGATGACGACTGGCAACAGCCTAAGCCAGCCGACAAAAAGACAAGCAGTTCCAAGGACAACAAGGCAACAAAGGAAAAGAAGTCTGAAGCCAAAGGTGATAAGAAAGATGTTAAGACTGGGAAGGGTGAGAAAAGCAAGCCAAGCGAGAAAGCCAAAGAGAAGGAGAAAGACAAGAGCAAAGAAAAGGAGAAGATGGAGAAGCCAAAAGAGAAAGGAAAGGATGCAAAGGATACCAAAGACAAAGAGAGCAAAGAGAAGGAGAAGACAAAAGAGGAGCCACCGCACGGGGCCTCGGCCTAGTTGCAAAGGTCAAAAAGTTAAGACCTAATCCAACATGTTTTTCTTGTTGAAGCCAATTGTTGCTTGTTGGAGGGGTGCGTGGTGCATAAATTTATAGTTGTTTGTTGTGTGTATTCATATATAATTTCATATATATATATATATTTGTATAACTATTATGAATGTATACGTACCCCCGCCCCCCGGAGCCAAGTTTTCAATACTGACGGATCAGTGTTTCTAATGAATTTTGAAGGCTGGATGTTATTGTTTGTTGTGAGGGTGACAATATAATATATATATATACATATACACATACAATCATACTTATATATATATATTAGTTTGTTACTTATTTTTTGTTGTGTTGTGTTTTGTGATTTGTGATGTTTTTGTGTATGCCAGCTTGACCTCAGGCCACTCATTGCCTTTGCCAGTGAGATGGACACCCGCTTGGGCTTCAAGGTGGACTGGCCACCAAGCCCATGCTACGTGACAAAGGTCTTGCACCAAGTGATTGGAAAATAGTAGAGTGGCGCAGCCACCCGCCAAGTGCCGCCCAGCTACCAAGGTGGAAGGCGGTAGTTGGGCCGAGATGATGCAGGCTTGACTGATGTGCACTGCTTTACTTGTCCGGGGGTGGTTCACACAGGCTCTTCTCCGGAATGTTGCCGCAATCGGCACACAGCACCCGTTGCTTTTACAAGCGTGCAGTTGGGAATAATGTTTCGATATTTTTCGCTTTTTCCTGAGTCTGACAAGAAACTATATATATATACTGGTTGTTTCTCTGCCAGACCAGTGCAATGATTAAGTCAATACATGTTGCGAAGAGAGGAACTACAACTTCAATCAACTACAATCATTACTAGTGGCCAGCTGTGGTTGAAAATAAAAACTTTAGCACGAGCACAAGACAGACCAAAGCATCAATCAATCAATTAGCACCGTTACATACAGTTCCCGAATGCGACATAAGCTGCTCGGGACTTTGTGTTGGGCAGGTCAAGGTTGACCTTCGCTTGGACAAGGCTGGTGGCAAAGATGTTGCCAAGATGAGCAAGGACACAGTCTTGGTGGTCGTTTCTCCACGTTAATGTTTTATACATGGATTCTATACATAGTATACAGTCTCGGCACAGGGCTCACTCATGAGAGATCGAAACAAGGGCTTGTCCGAGTTGAATAGTTTTGTATCTTGCCTGCAGGAAAAGCTAAAGAAGCTACTGGATGAAACAAGGCCGCTGCAGCTAGCCTTCGTCAAGGACAAGGCAGCATAGCCTGGAGAGGGCAAACCGACAATTCAAGCACTTGACGGTTGAGCGAGTTGAGGTTGATTCGGCGGGTGACATGTCCTTTGCGCTCTACACTCCCCTTTCCATGGTGCAGATTTGTCCTAGTAGTGATTAAGAATGTTGGGCCACATAGATCACATAGATGTTCTGGCTTGCAGAAGAAGAAGAAACCGCCAAAGCCTGAGCAGAATGACAGTGTGCTGGGCGGCATGTTTGGCTGATCCTTTGCCTCAATAGGTGCTTAGCTTCAAGTGTACATAGCCCACGGTCCTCGGATATCCTCGAACTTTTTTGCATTTTGTGATGGTTTAAAATAGGCTAATACCTTACGTCGTCTCATATTAGTTTTCTATTTTATGATGAGTTAGGGGAATCGAGGACAACCACCAGATTTGTTTCATATCCTTTTTTGTGCCTTTTGGGCATGTCAGCACAAAGATGAAAACAAAAAGCCTTTGTCCCATGCGTGTAGCAGAAGCCCAATGCAATTGAATTTCTGTCACTTTGACCTACGTGCCCGATGCTTTGCTGGAATCAAATCAGAGAAGTTTGGATTTGACCCCTTACCTTCGGCATCAGGCCAAGCAAAGTTTTAGCCTTCCGAGGTCGCACCAGAAAGGTGCCTGAAAAAGACTAGCTCTGTGAACACTCTCTTTTTTGCCCTCATCAATCAGCGGCACAGCTAGATCAGCTAGCTACTTTCTTCTCAAAAGAACTTCCTGGCCATGGGCGTGCATGGCTCCGCTGGCTACTTGCGCAGCCAGCGCTGTCAGTATCAGTCATGTCCTTCAAAGCCAAGGCAGGTTATTTTTTCAGCCGTGACGCTGCACTGCTACACTTTGACATGACATTACTTCTGTTGTTCTGTTGTGTCCGATTGTTTTGCTCTTGAAGGGCATTTGCCTAGTGACTACTGTTCTGAATGGTTAACGGAGTGCGTCTTCAAACATGCATTCCTAAGACACACTCAGTGTCAGGTGCCATGCGTGTGAAAAGAACCCGTCGCCAACATTGCCCTTGAAAAGATCCAAAAGCACGTGCCTTGTCACAAAGCAGTGCAGGAGCTTTGGGTAGTGCAGTGACTTGCTCAAGTTAGACTCAGACTTGAAAGGTAGAACGAGAAGAAGACTCACAGACATCGTAGGCAAGATTTGGAAAACCAAGGCATGTGACATATTCATAAGCTTTTGGGACCATGCTGAGCATGATTCGGACATGTTTGCTCAGACATTGAAAGAATGTAAGAGCTTGCGCTGCTGCAGGTCTTCTGTGATCTTTGGCCATATGCGCTGTGGACCCACAGAGCTCACACTAGCATCTAGCCTTGTGATTCAACGCATTCTTGGAGGACCTCCATTTCGATGAGAAAGATGGTAGAGCCAGAACTGAAGATCATAGATATGGAGCTAGATCCAGACTCAAGCCTGGATCCAAATAGGCCAACCTGAGCTATGTGGTAAAGACTCCTCGCTGGTTTCCCTTACCAATGTCAGCAAGGAGGGCACAAGATGCTTTTGCTGCATTGATATCCTGACCCCAGCATACTTTTGTCGCGAAGTGTGTGAAGCGGCCTACTCAAAGTCCCTACGTGTGGCACTGATTGAAACTAACACGGTTGCTGGAAGCACCATGAGTGCTCAGCTGGCTTATCAGGCTTCCTCGGTCTTCTTTGCCTTCACAAAACAAGTCGAACCGCGGCGTTTGTTAGGCTCTTTGCATCCATACAACGGGCATCGAGACGGTGCCTCTTTTCGGATTGCTACTATCCACCCAGAAGAAGCTGATGGAGATTGATGGAACATGATGGAGGCCCAAAACGCTCAATGAAAGAGTTGCAGATGAGTTGTTGGTTTTGAGAAATGATTATTTGTAATGCACTGTCCACGGCAATATTGCTAATTCTGGGAGGTTACCTGAGGATTTACAAGACTGTTTCAGACGACTTGCTTGGTCATAGAGGTGGACAAATGTGCATGGATTCACCAGCAGCATTACGTTGACACTCCCCGTGGTGCCCTGCGGGCCTACGAGTGCAAGAAGCATTTATGCCATCTCTATCCCATGGGTCCTGTAGCAATCAGCTCCCCACATCCTCTCCAAGCCAAGTGTGAGCAAGTAGTACACACGCCTCCTCGCTCAGTGTTATCCTATCGGTTGAAGAGGCAGGATGTTTGCAAACAACCAAGGCACAAATCGTGTGGCCTTTTCCATCGCCGTTGGATGCACACAATGTGGACTTCTTTAGTTTCATAGTCCTTGGTGCGTGCTGCAGTTCTAGTCAAAGCTAGCATACCTTGCTTCCTTGCGTTCCCTGTATGCTTGCTTTAGCTGCTTAACTTCAGCGTGTTCAGCAAGTTCACGTCAGTGAGGCCTTGTCCATGGCCATCCATGGCTTTGTGCAGTTGTGCAGGTATGTCCCGAGAAGAGTGGTGAGTGCGGGCTGCCTAGCTCCAATAATAAGCTCAAAGACAGGTCGATTTAGCAACTAATATTGCAGTAGGGCCAGTTTAAAACGTCATGTGATTGAAGTCAATCCCAACAACCCTTTTCCGGACTTGTGGTGCAGCGTCTAATCCTTTCAAGCTTGAAGGCTCCGACCATGACTCCGGCTGGACCTATTTTACTGTAACTGTAACTGTAGATTTCACTGCATCAAAAGCTATACAAACCGACAGTGGCAATAAACATCAATAAAAACAAGTAGGGCCCATGACTGGCCACACTGATCTCACAGTGAAGTTCAAAAGACTTGTGCATGACATGTTTGCCGACGCTACACTTCGACTACACACGTTGAGAGTTGGAGGCCACGCTAAGACTGAACCAGCGCGATGACCACATTCAAACAAAAGCCATCACATCGGTTACATCAACCTTGGATATGTGCATCATCTAACCCTGTTTGGTGTAGTTTGTCTGTTCAGTTGCTGGAAGGTGTTGGATCCCAGTAAATTGCGGAAACACAATATTGCGCAACTATCGGCGGCATGCAATTTGCACTTTGCAACGGGCAACCACGCTCACTGCCTAACCTCAAGAACCAAATCCCTAGCCGGCGTGGCACCACTTCCCCACAGCTCCATCCTTAGCTACTCCCTATGCACGACACCGTTGCCTTGCAGTCTGATTTTTGGTATCACCCTGAGGAGCATGAAGCCCAAGCCATTGTAGGGCGGCTTACGATTGGCAAAGGATGCAGAAGCAATAGTGAAGCATTCTAAGACCACCTTAGCTTACCAGGCTGCGGTAATGGCGCGACCAGTTCCCTCTAAGAACAGCGTCCGGGCCGTGCTGTGCTTTCGTTAGTCAGATCATCCTCCAGGCAGCGCACCTTGCTACCTACATCCAGCTGTGTATTTGCACAAGTGTCTTAAAGAGCAAACTGGCCAGCGACCTGGCTGAGGGTTCGTGGAGGCCAATCCTACAAGACCTCGGCCCCAAAGCTGTGTGCACATGACGAGATGTGAGGCGTCGTTTGCCACCACAAATGAGGTGCCTAAGGGGAGGCTGCATCTCAGAGTAAGATGCCACGGCCATCCAGGGTTCAAAATACATGCACAGAAGTGCTTCGAGTGCAGAGTTTTGCTGAAACTGAAATAGAGAGGGTTTTGGCGATTGCAGGTGCAGAGTGATGGAGACCTTCAGCCTTTACAGGTTCTGCCGGAGTGTAGCTGATCGCAGAAAGGCACACGTCAGAGCCAAGATCGCTCGACAGATCGGCCAGAATGCACATGCATGCGGCTCAAAGCACTGCACAACAAAAGTGTCCTTGTTCTTCTGCATTCATCAACCCTTGTTCATCAGGCCATCGCGCACAATACAGGCATGTATGTGCATGTGATTGACAAGGGCAGAACTCCAACACTCGGACAACCTGTGCCCCAGTTTGGTTCACTCTTACGCTTGATCGTCATGGGTCCGGCTCTAGGACCGAGCTTTAACTTTTTGCGAGACTGAGATGCTTGCAAGCAGGCATTCTTTCTCGTATGTTCTCAACACCATGTCAAGCCACACCAAATGCTATAGTCTACAATGCCTATGGAATTCAAGAGCGGTCTTTCCCCAGTTCAGTTCTAAAAGAACATAGACTTCTTGGTAGCGCTTGGCCATGCCCATCGGAAGTGCATGTTTCCATGCAGCCCTCTCCAGTGCAAGTGCATCAGCATGTATCAGCCATTTCTCGATCCAGCTTGGCTCAGGCTACATCATTAGCTATTGAAGCAATCTGTTGAACCTTCTGATGTTGACACAGTCCTTGCCTTGCACTGCATTCCATCTATTTTGAGGGCTGGCTGCAAGTTCAGCAAGCCATAGCTGGACCCGTGCCCAGAAGCAGGTTGGGGAAGCGAAGAAACACCCCAACCGAAACCAGGGAAAGAGCAACCCTTTGAACCGTCCCAGCCCGCGAGCAGCTTCTGACATGGCTTGCCAAGGCTTTGTCACAATGTTGTTTGGAGCTGCGAGCAGCGGAGAGCGGCTACAAGCGAACTTGTGTTACCGCAGGCTCAGCCAGGAACTCCATGTATCGTACAACTTATGAAAGTGCGCCGGGTATTTGCAAAGTTGCTGCAGTTGCTGTAGGGCTCCGACCCACACTTGCGAAAGACTGCACATGAGCTGTTCGCCTTTTCATGCTCGGATCCAAGCGACCTGAGCAAGGTAGCGTTGACATCGCAAAGTTCAGCCGTGGACCATGGTTTCATATGGTCAATTGTGGTAATGTTCCTAGGGTTTTTGCCATGCATGTCCAGCTGAAGGCTGTAGCGGCAGGCACAGTCGGGCACATGATCAGGTCGCTCCCAAAACCGACTAGCGGTGGAGTGTGTCAGTGTCATGTAGCAAAATGTTCTGTAGTTAACCAGCTCAGCTCCAAGAGAGAAACCTAAGTGGGCGTGTAGGCAGCCTGACAACAAAATTGCGCTGTGCTGTTTGCAGCCACAGAAGAACATCCCAGCGGCAATCAATCTATTCTCCCAAAACGTTGCTCGCACTCAGCATGGGCTAGGCAAGCGCCTTCCGCCCTAGTCTCGCTCGTCCTGTCAGGGCATTGCATGTTTAAAGTGTAAGCCGCTGACTGATATCGGCATAGCATGCCCCTCAAGTTCCTGGCAGAAGTTTTGCCCGGTGAAGCTTTCAGGACTGTCCTTCTTCCCACATGAAGCGAGTCGCGCTTAATTTGATGCACTGAGCTCAGAGCATCTTGCAGAGCTTCTCTCGAGCCCATTCCACCACTGCCACGGCCTCACATGTCGCAAACGCACCTGCCTGAGGGGACTCAGGATACAGTGCAGAACCCCCGCCTTGCTCACATTAGGTATTGGAACTTTGGCCATACTTCCTCGGCCACGTGCTTCGCTCGGCTCCTCTGCTGTGTGCATCAAATTCCCAAAGCAAGCAACAGATCGATTGATCAATACACTGGAAATGTGACACAAACCTTGTCATGGATCTATCCAAATAATAGTGGAAAGAAACTTGCATTAACTTGAGACTGTGCCGGATTCTTCACAGAGCAGCATTGAAGCATAGATTGTGAGTTCCTCTGATGAACGAAGGTTGTGAGCACAGAGTTTGTTCAGCCTCAGGACTTTCCCAACACTACTCCGCCATAGTGGTCCAAGCAGATCCAGTTTCATTTTGAATAGCAACTGTTCCAGCTGTATATGTAGGCTATTTGCCCAGCATACTGTCGACAGCACTCACGTGGCGGCACAGCCATGAACTTTCGCCACGCTTGGCTGAGTGCGCTTTGGTTCGGATCCTCGCTTGACTTGTAAAGATACGCCAAGTGCTCGCAAACTTGCTTGTGCTGTCACCTGCGGCATGTCTCCACAGACAGCTGCTTGGCGTGTCCAATGCAGCGAAATGACTCGGCCACCAAAACCCGCTTGCTAAGATGCTCCATTCTTTTGACTGCAAACTGTTTCAGACACGTCCATTGGGCTATTAAACAGGATGAGGTTGATGAGGTCCACTGGACACTACGTTGAATTTCTTGGCAATTGCGCATGTGCCTTGCTTGAGCACCCAAGCATGCGCTTGGCCTGGCCACTGATGTTAACTAATGCGAATAGCTTCCGTGAGGGCCTCACTTCACTTGTCTCTTTAGCAAATTCGGCAAGAGGATCTCCAAGGGTTCCCTGCATTGGTTTTCACAGGTGCACTTGGCAAAACAACTACTTAGCTTGCTTTCGCCCGAGTGTGTGAAGAATGAAAGCAAGAGACATGTCAGAAATCGGACTTTCCTTAATGTAGGCCACCTGTGCCATTGTAAATAGTAAGTGCGAGGTCCAATTGCTCAGGATATCCTAGGAGTTAGTTCAACAAACTTAAATACATCGGACCTTGCACGGCCCGTGACTGCCGTTGTAGCCTTTGAAGGAGGCGCTCGCCTCCATAAATCATACCTTGCAGATATTTCTAGGTTCTTTTCCATGCCGGTTTGCACGGGTGCTCCAGTAGAAGAAGCGCTACGGACATGCGGAAGCATTTGCATGGATAGATTGCTATGGCAAGCTGTTGACAAATTGGCCGCATCAAACTTTGCCAAGAATATGGATATGATTTTGATGGGACAAAGTTTCGGCGTCACCGTCGCTCGGTGTTTGTCTCTTCGTATGGATGCCATTGGATTTCCTGCTCGCGGCTTGATAGCTTTGGATTGTCGCTGTGCAGAGCGTGCTGCTAGGGACATTTATGTTGTACCTTTAGCCCTGCGGCAAAGCATGACGTCATCTTCCTGGAGATGTTTGTTGCTTGTCAGTTGGTTTAGGTGAGCAACGAGCTGGTTGTTCCCAGTTGCTACAAGAGAGCACACGACCTCTCACTTGTTTGTAGTCCAGGCAGTTTTCATCAGTTTTCGACCCCCACTAAGGAAACTGCTTTTAGCTGTTCCAACTGTTGCAGTTTGAAGTTTTGAAATTATAGTGTTCCCCTTAACATCCAAACAAACATACACAAACGAGACGAGTTGGATGGAGGACTTCCTGTTACCTTCTTGGATCAGAATCAGATTTTTCCAGCAGAATGGGGGGGCCCGGAACAGGTAGTCTTCGAGGACTTGGTTAGCACATGTTAGCATCAGCTTTCATGGAACATGTCGTTATATAGTAAGGCGTCAACACACAGAGACCTTTTTCCATCCTTTTCCCTTCAACTCTTGTCCTCAACCAGCACTTTGAGTTGTTGTTGCAGGTGGGATCATTTTGTGGTGTTTCCTGGCTTTACTTTGATTCAAGCGCATCGGCAGACGTGAAGACACACTAAGGATTGAAGAGTTCCACTTCGTCTCTCCCCGAGTTCCTCGCATCAACATCACCGCCCGCCATTTCGATCTCCGTGCTAGGCTCGACGCAGAAATGTCCGTAGTGTCAGCTAAAGCCTTTGCTTTGAATGTCATGGACAGCGATCATTTCGATTTGCCTGTGTCTCACTGCTGGGATCTCTCGAGACTAGTCAGCCAGATTCGGAAAGGACGGAGGCGAACCCGGCGCAAAGGACCGGTAATTATCAGAACGAATAGGAGCACACATATTGAACTTTGTGATAAATAGAAAGCTAATAAAAGCCGGAAAGCACGGAGCTGCCCAGAGATCATAGTGTCAAATGTGAGTAAAAAGTTCTTCTCTAATCTTCTCTAGCTGTGTATGTAGGCTATTTGCCCAGCATACCATCGACAGCACTCAAGTGGCGGCACAGCCATAAACTTTCGCCACGCTTGGCTGAGTGCGCTTTGGTTCGGATCCTCGCTTGACTTGTAAAGATACGCCAAGTGCTCGCAAACTTGCTTGTGCTGTCACCTGCGGCATGTCTCTACAGACAGCTGCTTGGCGTGTCCAATGCAGCGAAATGACTTGGCCACCAAAGCCCGCTTGCTAAGATGCTCCATTCTTTTGACTGCAAACTGTTTCAGACACGTCCATTGGGCTATTAAACAGGATGAGGTTGATGAGGTCCACTGGACACTACGTTGAATTTCTTGGCAATTGCGCATGTGCCTTGCTTGAGCACCCAAGCATGCGCTTGGCCTGGCCACTGATGTTAACTAATGCGAATAGCTTCCGTGAGGGCCCCACTTCACTTGTCTCTTTATCAAATTCGGTAAGAGGATCTCCAAGGGTTCCCTGCATTGGTTTTCACAGGTGCACTTGGCAAAACAACTACTTAGCTTGCTTTCGCCCGAGTGTGTGAAGAATGAAAGCAAGAGACATATCAGAAATCGGACTTTCCTTAATGTAGGCCGCCTGTGCCATTGTAAACAGTAAGTGCGAGGTCCAATTGCTCAGGATATCCTAGGAGTGAGTTCAACAAACTTAAATACATCGGACCTTGCACGGCCCGTGACTGCCGTTGTAGCCTCTGAAGGAGGCGCTCGCCTCCATAGATCATACCTTGCAGATATTTCTAGGTTCTTTTCCATGCCGGTTTGCACGGGTGCTCCAGTAGAAGAAGCGCTACGGACATGCGGAAGCATTTGCATGGATAGATTGCTATGGCAAGCTGTTGACAAATTGGCCGCATCAAACTTTGCCAAGAATATGGATATGATTTTGATGGGGCGAAGTTTCGGCGTCACCGTCGCTCGGTTTTTGTCTCTTCGTATGGATGCCATTGGATTTCCTGCTCGCGGCTTGACAGCTTTGGAGTGTCGCTAGGGACATGTTGTGCCTTTAGCCCTGCGGCAAAGTATGACGTCATCTTCCTGGAGATGTTTGTTACTGTTGCTTGTCAGTTGGTTTAGGTGAGCAGCGAGCTTGTTGCTCCCAGTTGCCACAAGAGAACACACGACCTCCAATTTGTTTGTAGTACAGGCAGTTTGCATCAGTTTTCTACGGAACCTGTTTTTAACTGCTTTAGTTTGATCCTGCTGCAGCTGTGAGGTGTTATTGTTCCCCGTAACATCTCGTAATTCCAAACAAACATAAACAAACTAGACAAGTTGCATAGAAGACTTCAAGGAACATGTTGTTACTTGTAGTATTTAAGGCGTCAGCACACAGACTGTTTCCATCCTTTTCCCTTCAACTCTTGTCCTCAGCCAGCAGTGTGAGTTGTTGTTCAGGTGAGATCGTTTATTTTGTTGTGTTTCCTGGCTTTACTTTGATTCATGTGCATTGGCAGACGTGAAAACATACTAAGGATTGAAGAGCTCCACTTCCTCTCTCCCCGAGTTCCTCGCATGAACAACCTAGCCGCCATTTTATAGGAGAGAGGTGAACCTTGCAAATTTTGGACCTTGTGAAATGCACTCAAGACCAGCGAGGTAAGAGGCCGTATCATTGGAACAACATCAGCATCCTACAGCAAGGGTCATTGGACATCTCACCATGTGCGCAATGCTTGACTCTTTGGATTGTGCCTACAATATTAATTGTGGGATTGACGAACGAATCCATTGAATTTTTAAAAAACAATGAATAACAGACACTCATCCGAATTTCCATTAATTAATGATTATTCTATATACTAAATTAGTTTGACGTATTGCAGCAGCAGAAAGTGAACAGAAGACCCCCTCCAGAGCAGCAGTGGAAAATCTGCGGTGACCAGCGGCCAGCATAGACCGTGCAGCCCAGCGACTACTAGCTGTAGTAGATCCCCCTGCGGAGCAGCAGAACGCAATAACAAGTATAACTATACAACTTCAGCCATTGATGCTTAACGAAAGCCAGCCAATAGGCTAGGCTGAAGTTCGCTTTTGCGTGGGTTACTAAATAAAACTGAAAAACTGTGAAGAAGTTTCAAGGTAGATCACATTTAACATGTACAACATGTTCATTAGCTTCTCACCTGACCGCGGCCCTTTTGTGCATCGAGAGAAGTTCGCACGGTAGCTGAGCAAGGATAAGGGTAACCCCCCTTTGAGCTCCAGAGAAGAGCCCCTAGGTCACTGGGATCCCAGGAGCGTTTTCGAGCCATAGATTTGGGGCCTTTGGAACCCAAATAGCTGGACTGGTGATAAACTGTTGTGAGCTGCACGCTATACCCCGTACATTGTGTCAGAACCACATCATTGTGCGACAAGCATGGGTGAAATCAGAGAAATTCTTCAAGTTATAGCACAGAGTACGGCAGCAGCAACATCAGCAGCTGAGTCAGTGAAGAAGGCAGTTGAAGACAAGAAAGCAACTACAACCGGCTGGCAAAAGTTGATCACAAGACCCAACCTTTTTGACCACAGGCCACAAGAAGAAGAAATCAAAGCGTTCAGAGAGTGGTCATGGGTATTCGAGAAGTATCTGTGCTCTATGGATGAGGCTTACATGAAAGACTTGAAAGAACTTCATGACAAGCCCAATGAGAACTTTGACATGGACTTTTGGCAACTGGAGAAGAGAAGGCCAGGTGCATCAAGCTCTATGGATTGTTAGCTTCGTTGATGAGGGGCAGGGCACTACAGTTGGTGAAAGAAGTGGGGGGCTCCAATGGATTTGATGCCTGGACAAGAACAAAGCGCTGAAGCCTACTTCAAAGGCAACAAAACTAGCACTCTTGGGGGCAGCCACTACATGGCCAGCATTTTCTATGAACAGTGCTCCACAACCTCAACTTCTTAGAAGAGGTATTTGATAAGACGTTCAAACCAGGAACGACAATTCAAGAAGAGTTGAAACCTGCTATTCTTTTGAGATGTGTAGGTGGACAGCTCAAATCCTACTTGAATTTGACAATTGGCGACAATGTTCAATATTCAACTTTGAGGGAACAAGTGTTGCAATGGGATCGTTCTCAGCAGAAGTGGGCTACTTCAATGGTGGCAAGTAGCAGTACAGACTTTCAAGGACCCATGCCTATGGACGTTGATCGAGTTCAAGATGCCAAAGGAAAGGGTAAGAAAGGCCAGAATGATTATCGAAAGGGCAAAGGTAAGGATGCCAAAGGCAAAAGAAAGAAAGGAAAAGGAGAACAGAAAGGAAAAGAAGGTGATCACAAGGGCAAAGGAAAAGGCAAAGACCAGAAAGGAAAAGGCGTGGCAGCTTGTTACACTTGTGGGAAGCTAGGACATCTTGCCCGAGACTGTTGGAGAAACCATATTTGAAAGGTTGCAAGTGATACAGCCCATTCATCTTCAGGAGGAGCTTCAGTGACTACCCATACAGTTGGCCAACAACAAGCCAATGTTAGCCAGCAAAGTAGCTCAGCAGATACCAAACCAGTGGCCAGAAGACCTGCGAGAAGGACATGATGAAGCAGAAGATCATGGAATTCAAGTATGCACTGTAATTCATTTCTACATTGGAGATGATGATGATGGTGGTGATGATGATGAGCTAGACATAGAAGATTGTGAAATGATTGAGGTTGAGAATCCAAGGTTAAAGGACTTGCAGAAGAGAGAGATGATGTGGCCATCATTTCTGACAGTGGAGCTGATGTAGCTCTATCCCCTTTGAATATGGCAGGCCACGGGGAAGGAGAGCTAGGATTTCATTTAGCTACCAAACTACAAGATGCATTGATGGACGCGAAGTGCGTCTCAAAGAGAATGAGATCTTCAGTTCAAAAGGAAATCAGCCCACACTTTGCTATGGAAGACTGATGGAGCATGGTTGGGGAATCCTCAACTTGCAAAATCGCCCTTTGACAGTGCAAGGCCGCATTAGAGTTATTTGAGATGAGGATGAAAGCTTCTTGGAGGTGCAAGTACCTGAGGCTACTAGTTGGGAGCTTATTGACTTGAAGATTTGTAGGTCCCACATTTATTCCTGAAGTGAAAGATTCACCAAAGCTGATGAGAACCACTTTGGTGAAAAGGGGAGGTAGATGGCTTATGTGTGAATATTGCGAAAGTATGATGAAAAAGGAGGAACTTGATCAGCAATTCCTTGGTGATGATGCAGTCATTCTTCCAATCACAATCCTCAGCCACGAGCCGTTCTACTTTAGCAACTGTGAGGGCAGCATGTTCATTTGTCGGCATCTCAGGTAGCGGGCCTAAGTTGAAGGTCTACGCAAAGATCCTCAATCACAACAAGAATGGAACTCTTGAATGCCAAAAGCTTGGTGAGTGAAGCAAAAGCCCGAGAGACAAGAGAAGCGCTAGGACAAAGTGTGCCTAAGATGCCAGATGAAGCCACTCAAGCAAGGTGCAGGTTGACGCACCTACCATATGCCAAGGACCGCCGTGAGAGAACAGATGGAGTGACGAGAGGAAGTATCCCTGAGGCACGCTTTGGCTAGTTGCAATCGATATCCAGACTGGATACATTCATGTTGCGCCAGAATCAATTTCGTCTCACTGTGCAAGAGTTGATGAATTTCAGTTGGGGTATTCAGCAATCACCTATAGGAGTGACAATGAACCCACAACAGGACGCCTCAAGATGCTGATCATTGCTCGTCGCAGCCTAGGGTTGACAACAAGGTTCAATACACCGAAATTGGGAGATCGCTCATTTCTGTCAGAGAACAGAGTTGGCAGGGTGAGAAATCTCGAGGAAGTTTCATGGAAGGCTTGCAGTCGAGGCTTGGCATCAAGATAGGATCAGATCATGCGCTTTGGACTTGGGCAAGGGTTACAAAGGACTTCTAGCAGAATATTGAGAACCAGTTCACGGTTACGTCAAAAGTCTCAACAAAGGAGAAGCTCGATGGCATCTATGCTTATTCTTGGGAAAGTGGAAAGGCAAGACAGGTAGTGCTAAGCAAATGCATCAGGGGAACAGATCAAGATTGTCAAGATTGGTCCAAATACTTGTACAAAAGCTTCAATGCCTATTCATGGCGGGTACCAGACAAACTTTGAAGGCATTCCCTGGACAGTAAATGCTGCATCATACCTTTCCTGGCAAAGATAGATTCCTGAACCAACAATGCTTCTGAATAGGCTAATCGTCTCTGGATCATTCAAGACCTCTGACTTGTCTTCCATCTGGATGGAACTGTCTGATGGTAGTTGCTGAAATTTGATCTTGCCAAACTGCTCCTCATAGGCTTTCAACATCTGCTGGATGTAGTTGCCTGTTTGGACCCATAGTCCATCGACTTCTAACTTGTAATGCCTCATCAGAAAACTGAACTCATCAACAATCCTCTCAAAATTGCTCACACTGGTGTCAAACCTGTCTTGAATCTTTGGAAATCAAATTCATTGATGTACTTTGAACAACCTGTGAAAATCAAATCATCCACATGAATCAAAAATGATACCCTTCTCATTTCTTCCTAGGCATGGACACGCAGCACTGAACGGTTGCTTGAGTTCCTCGGTGAGGTACCCTGTAAAGAAGTCGAACCATGCTTTTTGCTCCGACTCTCTGTCCAGGTAACCATCTTTTGACCGAGAATTCCTCTCCTCTCAAGTTCACTTTCAAAGGGTTCTCCTGTGGAACTTGCAAGAATGCATCTTTCACATCAAACCAACCTAGTGCTTGAGAAAATGCTCCTTCTCCCTCTCCTGCTTCTTCCTCCTCACTAACTCTCTGCAAGAAGATTGCGGGTAGAAGTTTCAGTGCTACATGTCCTGAAGTCGCTGGTGACAAAATATCATCTCTCTTTCCTTCAGCGAAAGAAAAATCTCTTGCAACTAGTCTTGATCTTCTCTGCCACCTCTTGCTTGTTGTTCCACCTCCATGGTGACACGGCTTCTTTTTCCAGTCATACACACTACGTGCAGTCAGGTAGCTGATACCTTCTGCGCTACCCTCTGGTCTCTCTAGCACTTGCGCCTTCTGGAGTCTTTTCTCTTCAGCTTCATCAGCTTCTCTCCACTCTTCTGGGTCTTCTTCTGGTTCATGTTCTCCATCACACCACGCTACACGATAGAGATCTTCTCCTCCAACCTTCGCCAAGTTGATCTTGGACTTCTTGCTTGAATCGTTTGATGGGTTTAGTTTCTTCAAAGGACTTTTTTCTTCAAGCAACTATAAGCAACTCAAATGCTTCCCTTGATCTCGAAGGCGCTGATGATGACCTCAATGAAAATAGTATAGGAGTAATTGGATTGGGTTGCCCTGCTGGCAATGATGTAGATGGGAATGCTTTCACCTTGCAAGCGTCTTCGCATCTGCAAATAGAACTTTCTGCTTCTTACTTGGTGTTTCTTCCCCATTAGGCTTCCTAGTTTCATTTCCATCTCTAGCAGGGCTGGAACCGGTATTGGTTCTGGGGGAAAGGGTCTCGGTTGTGACGCGCTTTTTTGTCTCGAATGTGACGCGGAGAGCTTTTCTCAGTTGTGACGCGGAGAGCTTTTCTTTTAGAGGATCTATGTGCTTCTGGGCCCTTGCTTGGTTCTCGTCGATTTGAGCACCGTCCCTAGAGTGGTGGCTCGAAAGCGGCCAGCAGTGGCCAAGAAGGCAGCGGTGAAAAGACCAGCTGCTCTGAAAGACTCTGACAAGGCTCCTTTAGAAGCGGTTTTCT